CCGTCGGGGGTCTGGGTCCCGCGCCCAGGGGCAGAGCCTGGGCCCCGCGGCTGCCAGAGGACGAGTCGTCTGGGGTTCGTAAGAGGGGGGGTTCTCCCAAGGTGGGGGTATAGAGAACGAACCGGGCTGGATGCTCCCATTGGAGTGCCGGCGCTGCGCTGGCATTGGCGCGTAAGCTGCCCGCGTAAGGTCGCGAGTATGCGCCCTCGTTTCCAATGTAGCGTACCACGCTGGTGGCCCGCGTAAGCCGCCGCGTAAGGTTTCTCTGCCATGTCGCGTAAGATCCGTTTCTTTTAGTCGCCCACGTGCTCGGTCGGCGGCGAAATCCGAAACCCGAAAGTTCTCTTAAGAGTCTGGCGATGGCCCAGGTTCTCGGGTCCGCCCCCCCCCCCTCCCACCTGACTCCGGATACCCTGACCTTGTCGGAAGCGCAGGTCCGAAGGGGGTACGCAGTAGTGGTGCGCGCGGGCACAGTTGGGGCTGCCCAGAGCGACAAGGTCAGGTAATCGGCGGGCACCTCCTCGCCCCCTCCCCCCCCTTGATGACCCAGGTGATCGCCGAATAATTACGCACCCCGCCCAGGAGATTTCTCCGGGGCCTGCCGCCTGGTAGCCAGGGACTGTCCCCGATGCGCGCCGGGGTCAGGCCATCGGCATCTCTTGCGTGATGATGTTCCAACCTACTTTAGCCTTCACCGCCAGGAAGAATTTCGAGCACCAAGAAAGTACCAAAACTGGAGGGCTTTCACGTGTCGGGCCCTGGGAGGCAGTACTCGCTCGACACTGTTTCGACACTTTTTCTGGGTGCTCGAAATTACTTCTGGGATGTGGTCCCTAAGTTCGGCGGCGAGCGAGGGGGGGAAATGAGAAGGAGAAGGCCTTCTCAGAAGTTTCGGAAGCCCCCCGGCCTTCTGACAAGTTTCCTAAACCTTCCCCGAAGACAGAACAAGACTTCTCAGAAGGCGCGAGGGCCTCTGGAAGTCCCGCCGCCTTCTGCGAAGGCCTTCCTCCTCCTCCTCCTCCTCCTCCTCCTCATTTTTCCCCCCTCGCTCGCCGCCGACACTCACCACCCACCAAACCACCCCAACCCGACCCGAAGGCTCCAGATTGCCCTCCATTCCCAGTGGGGGGGGGGTCGGGGAATGCTGAGAAACCACATATGAAACCCGCACCCCCCCAACCCGAAATTCGCGTCTTCGGGTTGGGTTGGGGTGGTCTGGTAGGTACAGTGCCGTCTTTAATACATGCTCCGCGTGCGGATCATGTATCAAACATGTAGGATTTAGTGTTAAAAACAACGATGAGCTCATGCATGAATTTATTCATATATTTTTGATTTTATCGTGACCCTGGAAATGATGGGCGTGTTGTCCACCACCACCACCATAAGTTGGAGGGAAGGGTCCTCCTCCTCCTTCTCCTACTCCTCCTCGTCCTTCTTCTCCTCCTCCTCCGCCTCTTCGTCCCCCTCCTCCCCGCCCTCCTCTTCCTTCCCCCCTCCAACTTATGATGGTGGTGGTGGTGGAAAAAAGGCTCAGCAAGAAACGGGTCAGGATGGACACCGGGAGGGGTCCGAAGGCCCGATTCTGGGCAGATTTCGGGCCCAGGCGGGAAAGCCGCCGCTGTCTCCATCGGCCCTCCGCCGTGCACAGATCGCCACTGGGAAGCTGCCGGTATTATGCACCGCCGCTCTCCTTGAGGGCACAGGGCGAGTGGTGGGTAGTAGATATAGTTTTTGGGGCGCATCTCCTTCCGCTTGAGGATCGAGGTTCGAAGGTTTGGGCATCGGTGTTTTTGGTTTCCTTTGTCCTTGTTGGGCATTTTGGAGGCTCATCGTGGCTGCAACTGGGTCCGCTTCGACGCCCGTAACCTAGACCTACGACGTATACTTCCGACGTGTGGCAAACATCTAGGCCGATAAGTATGTTTCTTCATCTTCTGCTTGAAGGTGCCCTGGAACGATTAATCGGTGTCTGTGAAGCGGTCGAGAGGTCCACATCGGAGATCTGGGTTTGTCTCTGTCTCTGTGGCCTGTCTGTCCTCTCCTCCGTCTTGTGCATGTCTTCCACGGGGCCGTACTTGTTGCACCTCTGCGCCACATTTTGGATTATGTGTCTTTGATCTTAAAGATGTGTACAACATGCCTGTATTGGAGAGGCCTTACGGCCGGTGCCGCCGACCCTGAACGACGACGACGACGACGACGACGACGAGGACGATGACGATGACGACGAGGACGACGACGACGACGAGGACGAGGACGACGACGACGACGGCGACGACGAAGACGTCGACGACATAGACGACACCGACGGAGACGCAGCCGACGCAGCCTGCAGATATGTTTTTGGGCCTTTGCCGTACCCCAGCCTGGCCCGCACGTTCTTTTGCCTCCTCGCCCCTCTCGTCGTTTCTTTTGCCGAGCCTCCTCTCTCCTCCCTCCTCCCTCCTCCCTCCTCCCTCCTGCCTTCTCCCTCCTCCCTCCTCCCTCCTCCCTCCTCCCTCCTCCCTCCTCCCTCCTCCTCCTCCTCCTCCTGCTTCTCCTGCTCCTCCTCCTCCTCTTCCTGCTCTTCCTGAATGACAAGATCAGGAGTAGGAGTACGTCTCAGGGTTTAGGTTTCTGGAAGATAACCCCTAACAGTATTGACATGCTTGTTCGACGTCTCCGATTTTATCAATGTTGGGCTCGTAATTATCGGAAGCATATCCAGATTTCATGCTCTTTATTCAGGGAGATGCCTCTAGATAATATCGGCAACAACTTCTCGGCGGTGGCCCGACGCGGGTCTCATCGCCCTGGGTCCGACAAGTAAAAGATGATTTGGTTTCGGCTTCGAAGTTTTTGGAAGATCGGTACCTGGACGACCTAGAGGCGGACCTACGGCTTTTAACTGATGCTGAAACGTCTACGGGGTTCGCGGCCTTGTCAGATAAGGGCGCGCTGTTGCTCGACAAGCATTGCACTTCCAGGCTGCGTTTCTAGGAAGTCTGACGGGGCCGCACTCTGACGATTTTGAGGCCCCAGAGTCCCACCCGTTCCAGTGCTGTGTTATGAAAGAAGGTGGATGTGAATGCAAGGAGTCTTTCTCACCACGCAGTAAGCTGACGAATCACATGAGGCGGGCGCACGGCATCCGCAAACTCGCCCACACTCTCAAGCCGTCCGATGTCTGTATCGTTTGCAGGCAGGTCTTCGCGAGCACCTCGAACGCAGGTCGCCACCTCCAGGGATCGATGGAGAGAGGCCATTGCCGGACTCGCGGGCCGTCGACTTTCTTGACGGCGGCCACATTCCCGAAGTCCATGGACTGTCCTGTATGCCACTATGAAGGCTCGAGCTTGGACGACCTTTGCTCTCATCTTGCCTCACACGTTCCTGTGCCGATCGAGCCCTTCGACCCAGCTGCTGGCCATGTCGGCGCATGAGCAGATGCAGCTCGAATGTCCTGCGTGGTCCAGCGGGAGCAAGCACAACGCAGACTGCAAGGCCGAGGACGTCAGCGAGGCGGTCGGGACCAAGGACGTGGCCAGGGGCCCCAAGTCGCACAAGCAGGAGGGCACGGGCGCTCCGATGAAGCTCATCACCCTGACGGCTCGGCTCCTCATGTCGGTGACTCGCGAGGCGACAGACATCTCCTCAACCGTGTTCGTTCATTACGTGGTCTCGGCAGGCAGCGCCCTGGCGGCGGCTCTCGTTCTGACAGGAAAGGCTCACACCGAGGAGAGCCAGCGCCTCCGCGAGCCGAAGCAGGGCGGCGAGGACGTGTACTTCAAAGCGGGAGGTCCACCACACATCCAGGCAGCAGCAGCAGCAGCAGCATGGTACGGAGCGGATCGTGCCGTGAATATTGGCGAAGAGCAGCAGGTGAAGCAGGAGGGGGAGAAGAAACACGAGTCCACCGCCCTGTGGCGCAACCATATCAACGGAGCGTCCGTCCCGATCATGGCGCGCGCGATGCCCTTACTTCCGTTTCAAGCTTCAGCAAGAAGAAGACCGAGGATCAGCCCCGCAAGGCCACGCTTCTGATGAGTTTCTCGTGGGAGGCACCGCTCGGGAAGGCCATTGGGGAGGCATTGGGGGGGTTGATGTTCCTGGAGGGATCGAGCTACCCTCCAGGCCCTGCCCTGAAAAAAGGGGTCGTTGGAGCGCGAGACCAGGAAACGGATCCGCACCGGAGAATGAGAGATGCCTTGAGACAGTCTGATCGTCTTCGTGATTTGATCGGTCGACGACTGATTGCGCCGTAGAGTTAGCGCTCGAATCACTGCCTAGCACACCTGTCATATCCCTGCCCAGCCGCCAAAGGGAGGGGGATGGGGTAGTCGTGGTCGTGGGAGTGGGTGGGGTGGTGGCCAGGGGAGGAGAAGCGAGGCCTGAGGCACTTCACGTCTTTCAAACCCGTTTCGTCGAGCCCGCTGCGTGCGGGCCTGAGTGCGGGCCTGGGCCTGTGCTGCTAGGTGCAGAGCGCGGCGGAGGACCGTGCTAACTCGGAGGGTTTCGGAAGGGAGCGGACAAATCATCCTTGTTACGTGGCGAGTCAGTCTAGTTTTTTGGCATTGATTCATTTCAGGCTGGCTGTTGTCAGTTGACAGGATTCCATGAGCTCATTCATTCATTCATTTATTCATTCGTTCGTTCGTTCGTTCGTTCGTTCATTCATTCATTCATTCATTCATTCATTCATTCATTCATTCATTCATTCATTCATTCATTCATTCATTCATTCATTCATTCATTCGTTCGTTCGTTCGTTCGTTCGTTCGTTCGTTCGTTCGTTCGTTCGTTCGTTCGTTCGTTCGTTCATTCATTCATTCATTCCTCCTCCTCCTTCTCCCTCCTCCCTCCTTCCCCCCACCCTCCTCCCTCGAAGCGGGCCGCCGAGGGGCAATCGCACTGGGGGGTGCGCTTGTGTCGCAAGCGTCTAGCTGTGATACTCCCAGCCCTCCCCCTGTATCGGCCGGTCGTTGATCGTATGTGCTAGCGCGCGTTTTCTCGTGGGCCTTCGCCGCTTCTCGGCCTCCTCCTCTTCCGCCTCTGCGTGTCCTCTGCGGCAGGAGACCAAAACTGCTGCGCAGTGCGCGCAAGGAAGGAGCCTGACCCCCGTGCAGGCCAAGGAGCGCCCGGATACAAAAGGGGTAACGGAGGCTTTTCTTCAGCACATACTATCATGCTACCGTGCCAGCCCAGCATTGTGGGTGACGATTGTTCGAGGGGGCTCGGGAGGACGTCGCGTGTGACACCTTGTGTCCCCAAGCTTGGGTGAGCCGTGGCGAGGATGATGAGGATGATGTTGACGAGGAAAAGGAGGAGGAGGAAGAGGAGGAGGAGGAGGAGGAGGAGGAGGAGGAGGAGGAGGAGGAGGAGGAGGAGGAGGAGGAGGAGGAGGAGGAGGAGGAGGAGGAGGAGGAGGAGGAGGAGGAGGAGGAGGAGGAGGAGGAGGAGTAAGAGGAAGACTGTCTCATGTGTCACCTTGCGTCTTCACTGCTTGGGGGTCCCTTGGGGTCGTTTTGGGCCGTATTGGGGCCGTCTTAGCTGTCATTTGGCCCTATTGGGCCGTCTTGGGGCTCTCTTGATTCTTTGGCCATCTAAACGGTGTCTTGGGGCCGTCGATGGACTGTCTTGGGCCGTCGAAGGGATTTTTAAGGCCGTCTTGGGTTTCTCCAGAGGACGTCTTGGGTTCGTCTGAAAGGCCTCTTGGGCCATCATGGGATCTTCTTGGGCCGTCTTGGGGCCCTTTTCGGGGTCTCTTGGGCCGTTTTGAGGCCATCTTGGAGGCTCGTTGGGCCGTCTCGAGCTGATGAAACCCCGAAGAGGCGAGATTGCGAAACTTTGAACACCCACATGCAAGTCAATGGTCGTGGAATCTCCGGACCCTGTTGAGAGGCCTCTTCTATCTTGGGCCGTCCTGGTGCCACCTTGGACCGTCTTGGAGGCCTCTTGGGCCTTTCTGGCGGCCTCGGTTGCCTGCCTCGGCCGTCTTGGAAGCTCGGGAGCGCGGGTCCACTGTTCTTCTGTTACGAGGCATCGTGGCCTAGAGAACGCTGATCTTTTGCTCTTTTGTGGCCTCGGGAGGGGTGGGGGGCGGGGGGGAAGCGGTGCGTGCCCCTGGACGCGACGAGAGAGGGGGAGGTCCTTAGGAGATACCAGAAACCCTACCTGGCAGCCCTTGGCATTCTACAACGCTTCAGCGTGCCAGGGTCACGATGGCGGATCTGTGGCAAGGTTTGGTTTTCGATCGTGGATCCTTTGGTGAACGCAATCATCTGGATTGCATGAAAATAACTCCAGAAGACCGCGAAAGCAGCCGAACGCCTCAGAGACCGGCGAAGACAGCCAAGGACCGCTGAAGACCACCACCTGCCGATGCGTAGCACGGGTTCCATGGTCGAGTGCGGAGGGAAATCCAGTTGCGCTGCTGCGCGGTGACGCCACCGCGCTCGGGCAGGCGACGGGGGGGTGGCGCTTGGAGGGCGGGGGGGGGTGAGCGGGGAGGGTGGCATGCCACGGGTGATGGGGTGATGGGCGAATTCTCCACCACCACTACGATAGGTAGGACGGGGTAGAAGAGAGGATGGGGAGGTCTTTCTTCTCCTCCTCCTCCTCCTCCTCCTCCTCCTCCCTTTCTCCTCCTCCTCCTCTCTTTCTCCTCCTCCTCCTCCTCCTCCTCCTCCTCCTCCCCCTCCTCCTCCTCCTCCTCCTCCCATACCTCCCTCCCCCTCTCTCCTCCTTTTCTCCTCCTCCTCCCCTCCTCTCCTCCTCCTCCTCCTCCCCCTCTCCTCCTCCCCCTCCTCCTCCTATCCTCCTCCTCCTCCTCCCTCCTTCCTCATCTCCTCTCTCCTCCTCCTCCTCCTCCTCCGTCTCCTCTCCTCCTCCTCCTCCTCCTCCTCCTCCTCCTCCTCCTCCTCCTCCTCCTCCTCCCCCTCCCCCTCCCCCTCCCTCTCCTGCCCGTGGTAGGGGTGGTGGAAACATCGGCCCATCAGCGGGACCTGGCCGCCCGCGCCTTCGCTTTGGGGGGCAGGGCTGTCGTCGGAGGACGAAGGCCGCGGGGACTCGGTGAACAGGCGAAACGGATGTTGGGTTCCGATGCGTCGGGGGGCCTCCCCCCTCCCCCCTCGGCGCGTTTGGCGTTGCAGATCCTCACCACCCACCAAACCACCCCAACCCAACCCGAAGGCTCAGATTTACCCTCGATTTCCAGTGGGGGGGGGTCGGGAAACATTGAAAAAACACGTGTGGAACCCTTACCCCCCCCAACCCGAAATTCGGGTCTTCGGGTTGGGTTGGGGTGGTCTGGTAGGTAGTCAGATCCCGGCGCGTTTGGCGCTCCGTTGCGAACTTGTCCGGCGCGTTTGGCGTTCCAGCTGCCGTTGCGCTGCCGACGCGCATCTCCTTTCTTCCGCCCGGTCGCCGACGACGCAGCCTTGCCGACGCGTCCCTCCGGGTGCATGGCTGAGCGAGCGAGCGAGCGAGCGAGGGGGGGGGCCTCAGTTACGCTCGGACCGAGGTATAAGATCGAGGTCGGTTCGGGGAGGGTGCCCTTGGAGTCCTTCGGGCTTGTTTGATGTTCTCGTGCATCCTGGGGGAGGACACCCTTGGGTGACCTCATGGTTTGGGGTGTTTTAGCTGGTTGAGAGTCTCATGTTCTTGAAGAGTGTTCTTCTGTCCTAGGTCCGACCGCTCCGCGAGAACGCAAGCAACGGAAAGCAAGGGTTCGACGCGCACCTACCGCTGCAAGGGTGGAGGCAGATATGAGCTTCTTCATTGATGCAATTCTTGCATTCTTGCCTCTTCAACCCGTCGGCAGACACGGGTCTTAGGATGTTCGGATCGACGCCGCTGCAATCAAATCATCGGCGTTCAGGGCCCGTGAATCGTGACCTTGCACCCGTTTTGTTGTTCTTGATTCCGAGGCAGGAAGGAGGAGGGAACGAACAGGCCGAGGAAAGGAAGGGTCAGGGAGGGCTTTCCCTCACAGCTGCTAATGGAATGCTCCGTTATTTCTCGTCCCACAAATGGCCCACATATTTCCCAGAAATGGCCCGCTAATGCCCCGCGACTTGCACACTAATGGCCCCACTGATGGCTCCGCTCATGGCCCACTGATGAATCTGGCCCACTGGTGGCCCACTGATGAACTCATGACCCACTCATGACCCCTTCATGACCCACTTCTGTCGGATGAGTGGCTCACGAATGGTCTTCGAGTGGCTCGCTTCTCATCGTTCTTTCGCATTGAGGGAGGTGAAGGTCAGTATGGTTTAACCGACCCCCATCCCCATCCTCATCCCCTTCGAGACACCCACCACATTACCACCCCAGTTGGGGATATACCCCTCGAAACCCGAAGGGAACGACCTATACCCCCCTCTAGGAGGGTAACTCGGCCAGTGGGGCCCAGGCCACGCCGCTGGGGATGGGGATCGGTTAAACGATGCCCAGAAGGGCGGCGGGGGTGCGCCATGCGATGCGTGCAGCCGGTGTCGGCCCCGCCGCCGAGCGCTCCCCGCATGCAATGGGCACACCGGGCGCTGGGAGGCGCCGGGCAACCTAGCTAAGGGTACGTTCCTGCGGTGTTGGCTCGCCGATCTTAAATCGTGCCAGAACGCAGTTCCTGGGACATCAACTCCGCGGATCAACGTTGGTATGGTGTGCCCTGTTAGTTACTTTACAAGTATTAATCTTTTATCGTACTTTTTAATCTCGATTGGGCGACGAGGGTTGGCAGTGTTCCGCTGACATGATTTTGGTTAGACCCTCTGCGTCGATGCGGGGGCTTATGCG